CCTATGCTACAAATATTACAAATAGTACTAATAAGATATATAATATACATAATACAGATACTACATATAAGACAAATGATATATATATAATATGTAAAATAAATAATATAGATGCTATAAAAATGACATGTAATAGATATGCTACATGTAAAGAATTTCGCGCAGTTGATCATCAGCCAATCAGGTTGTACTACATGTGATCTACATATAGAACATTTGATCAAATCACATTTTTGGTCCGATCTCGGCTTTCTGTGATTGGATTTGGATGATCGCACCACCTTTAGATTCGTCTCGATGCGCTGATTCGAATGGTAGTTGTTTAATCGTGATTGGACCGGTGGTTACGGAGATATGAGCCAAAATGTCTTTTTCTTAATAGTCAACAACATATAACAGTCGAATTAATCTAGTTAGCAAGTATGATATTTTTAATTGGGCACATTTAAATGTTATTCAAGTTCACAAATATTTGCTGTTTATAGGAATATTATTAACTCATTCAGCTCTATTTATTAATCGGTTTTCATAATATATAGTTTAAATATACAAGCTGATAACATCTCTAGCTATTTAATCTATATTTAATTTATTTAATATTCATAATTTAAAAAATAATTCATCAGATTTGGTCTTTTAAAAACTTGATAGTAATATGTATGAAATGTAATCACATATCATATATATTGCTAATTAGATTTTTCATAAGCCGGATCTTTGAAAACTCGATTTCTCATTTTCTTTTAGCATATTCTTTTTTTTTTTGGTGTTAAAGTAACCCTTCAGTCAAGTACTTTATTATTGTTTGGATTACTTTTACAACTAGATAATCTACATCCATCATACATATATTTCTATATATATAACCTTGATACAATACTCTTTAGTAACTACTTTAGAACAATTTTATTTTCAGGATAAACCTGCTAGAGCCTTCTGTATCTACAATCTGGCTAATCTAGGCTTCGGTTGATATACACGGGTCAAGGCTCGCCACTTGCGCCCCAGTTTCCTGATCACTACTACACAACCTACTTCTGCCCTTATAGAGTTTACCCAAACCCCAGTATATACTTACAGACTATTACTAGTATCTTCAGCTATCCCAAACTACCAATTCAGATGGCCCAGAAGGGCTATGACCTGCTCCTGGTCTCTACGATTGGGTCTTTTTTCTCCAGCTACCCTTCGGTGGCTTGGTTGGTGAAATGCCTTGCCAAGCATTTCAGTCCTATTCAGTTTTACCAGTTCTCCAAGTATCAATCTTGTATGTAGTACTGTCAAAGATCTGTGCTATCTCTCTATTTGGAACTTCCCAAGCGAATGCCTACCGCTGTATCAGCCCAGTGGCTTTCTGCAATTCCAAAGGACTTATCTTGGGTTTGCACCGACTAAACCGGCTTGCATGCCTTTGTATAACTCCTTATATTACACAAATGCCCCAGGATCTTCCAGTTTCTAGCTAACTATAATTGATATAACTATAGTTACAGGGTCTCGAGTTTTCTTGGCCACGATGATAGTTACTGAATTCTGTTTTTCTTAAAATCCAATTTTCATTCTCTGTAGAAATTGAACCAATACTCAACCGCTTGGGGTGTGACAACTTGACCACTTTACTAAGTCACTACACCCTTTCTCTTGGTGTATTTAAATAAATTCGAGTTTATATATTTAACTTTTATTATTTCAACCCTTTATCTCAGTAAGTGAGCTAATTTTTTTTCAATTTATTTTTTATTTCAATTAACTATCCTATATTGCTTGTCTCATACATACAATACTCATACCATTCATTTATCATTTTGCCGAAATGAAATTGGAGTTAAAAAGGATGAACTTAAAGAATTCCATAAATTAGAAATGGGGAACACTAGTTAGATATTATTATCAAATAGAATTGGAATTGAAAGTGGCACTCCACTTACTATCAAACAAATCAAATGAAATGTGAATGCTAGTGAAATACAGAATGTTGAATATTGTTATTAAAGTGTCGAAGTGAAATTAGAGTTAAAAAAAGCAAACATAAGACATTTTATTTACTATCAAACAAATCAGGTGAAATGTGAATGCCAGTGGAATATATAATATTGGATATTGTTATAGAAGTGGAATTAGAGTTAAAAAAAGCAAATATAAGATATTCTATTTACTATTAAACAAATTAGGTAAAATGTGAATTTTAGTGGAATATAATGTCAGATATTATTATCAAATGGAATTGGAGTTGAAAAGGGTGTACATAAATTATTCTATTTAATATCAACAATCAAACGAAATATAAATGCTAGAGGAACACATCATGTTGGATATTGTTATCAAAACAGAATTGGAGCTAAAAAGAGGCAAACATAAGACATTCTATTTACTATTAAACAAATCAGACAAAATATGAATGCTAGTGAAATACATGATGTTAGATATTTGAAAAAGGCAAATATAAGGCATTCTATTTATTATCAAATAAACCAGACAAAGTGTGAATGCTAGTGAAATATTATGTTGGATATTGTAATCAAAATGGAATTAGAGCTGAAAAGGGAAACAAAAAGCATATCAAACAAATCAGGTAAAATTTGAACGCTAGTGAAGCACATGATGTTAGATATTGTTTTTAAAATGGAATTGGTGTTGAAAAGGGCGAATATAAGGTATTCTATTTACTATCAAACAAATCAAGCAAAATGTGAATGCTAATAAACTACATGATACAGGGTATTGTTATCAAAATAGAATTGAAAAGAACAAATACAAGATATTCATTTTATTATCAAAAAAATCAGCAGAGATAAGAAACTTAGTAGAATATACAGTATATGTCAAATGCTTTCATTTGACAGAGTAATGTTTTTGTTGTATATATAATTGTTAACTATAGACTCATCATTGGTTTTTGAAACTGGTAGTCTTTTCAGATCTGCTAAACTATTAGCAATTAAAGCCTTATAAAAAATATATCAATGTACAAATGGCAAGTTAACTCTAGTAGGTTGTAGAGAACTAAAATCTTAAACAGTTATTAGTATCTTTATATACTTTTAATTATTGCCTCTTTCATAATTGCAAATTGCCTTAAATT